TGGTTCCACCCACCTAGTTAGACTCCCGGAGGTTATTAGAGACCATGGTAAACATTTCGGCAATTTTTATTTTCGAGCGAAAAAAGTCAAAAATTCCAAAATTCTAAGATCCATGTTTTTTAAGGAATTTCGGAGGTTTCGAGGCCGGGTGTTGAAAAGGCGTGAAATTTTAGGAGATACATCTCAGGGTCATATAATGCCGTTTGGAACCATTTATGATCATTATATGTTGTTATAAATGTTCGTGGTAGGATTGATTTAATGAAATCGTTACAAGTTGTAAACCGGTAAATTGGTCGTTTAAAGGCCAATTGGATGGATACACCCGCCCAATTGGACTCCCGGAGGGTATTAGGGACCATGGTAAAAATTTTGGAGATTTTATTCCTGGGCGAAAAAAGTCAAAAAATTCCAAAATTGAATGCTTTTATCCACGCTTTTTGAGAAAATTTTGAGGTTTGATATGTTCTCGAAAAACTTGAGATTTTAGGGAATACATCTCAGGGTCATATAATGCCGTTTGGAACCATATATGATCATTATATGTTGTCATAAATGTTGGTGGTAGGCTTGAGTTAATGAAATCGGTGCAAGTTGTAAATCGGTAAATTGGTCGTTTAAAGGCAAATTGGATGGTTCCACCTACCCAATTGGACTCCCAGAGCGTATAAGGAACCATGGTAAACATTTCGGCAATTTTTATTATCATTCGAAAAAAAGTCAAAATTTTCCAAAATTGAAGGCTAATATCCACGTTTTTGAGAAATTTTGGAGGTTTCGGGGCTCGGTGTCGAAAAGGTTTGAGATTTTAGGGGATACATATCGGAGTCATATAATGCCTTTTGGAACCATATATGATCATTATATGTTGTCATAAATTTTTGTGGTGGGCTTGAATTAATGAAATCGGTGCAAGTTGTAAACCGGTAAATTGGTCGTTTAAAGGGAAATTGGATGGTACCACCCATCCAATTGGCCTCCCGAAGGGTATTACGGACCATGGTAAACATTTCGACAATTTTTATTTCCGGCTGAAAAAAAAAAGTCAAGAAATTCCAAAAATTAAAGTCCAAGATCCATACTTGTTCAGAAAATTTGAAGATTTTGAGGGCCGGTGTCGTCGAAAAGCCTTGAAATTTTAGGATTACATCTTGGGGTCATATAATACCGTTTGGAACCATATATGATCATTATATGTTGTCATAAATATTCATGGTAATTTTGAATTAATGAAATCAGTGGAAGTTGTAAACTGATAAATAGGTCGTTTAAAGGAAAATTGGATGGTTCCACCCACACAATTGGACTCCCGGTGGGTATTAGAAAATCTCAAGTTACCTGCTCTCAAGGAATGGGACTACTGTTACCAAAACTTCACCTTGATCAGTTGAAAGTTTCACTCCCTTTGTTTCCTCTTGTAACTTCTATACCAAGAAAATCTCTCATCTTTCCCAGATCCTTGATTGTGAATGCCTCATCCAAATGCTTCTTCAAGAATAGTTGGAATTGGAGTCCCTGCATTGTGATCTACATCTTCTTCACAGTGCAGTTGTGGCAACATCTGTATACAGTGAGGAAGCTTGTTAAACTCTTCTGAACTTTGCTTAAAAGGAAATATATGCTCCTTAAACTCTACATCTATTGACACAAAGATCTTCCTTGTCTCTAAATCCATTAATCTGTAAGCTTTTTGTCCACCAGGGTCCATGGTAAACATTTCGGCAATTTTTATTTACGGGTGAAAAAAAGTCAAAAAAATTCAAAAATTGAAGGCTAATATCCACGCTTTTTGAGAAATTTTGGAGTTTTCGGGGCCCAGTGTCTAAAAGTCTCGAAAATCTAGGGAATACATCTCGGGGTCATATAATGTCATTTGGAACCATATATGATCATTTTTTGTTGTCATAAATGTTCGTTGTAGGCTTGAGTTAATGAAATCGGTGCAAGTTGTAAACCGGTAAATTGGTCGTTTAAAGGCAAAATGGATGGTTCCACCCACCCAATTGGACTCTCAGAGGGTATTAGGGACCATTGTAAAAATTTCGGCAATTTTTATTTCTGGGTTAAAAAAGTCAAAATTTCCAAAATTAAAGGTTAATATCCACGTTTTTTGAGAAATTTTGGAGATTTCGGTAAAAAAAAGTGATTTAAAGTTAGAAAATCGACTCTTCTATGATTATATAAGAGTATAAGATAATAAAAATATTTTATAATATTGGTATGAATATAGCTATGTTGCATAAATAAATGAAGTGAAAGAATATATATTGAGAATAATCGATAATTAATTAACCAATTTATCTGGTCAAAAAAATAAAAAAAAAAACAATTGATGTGTATCTTTGTACTGACTTGCATAGTTTTTTTTTTTTTTTTTTGGTAAGGAGAATGGCCCTATTAGGTCTGAACCTCTTATAGGCCCTCCCGGCTCGAGTTGACGGGTTAGACACTTTGAGAGTGGTGTAAGGGTAATGGAATATTCCCACCCAAAATGACTCTAGTGGAGTTTGATCTCCCAACCTAATGGGTTGTGAGTGAAAGACCATACTGAATCGACACTTCTCACAAGTTTAGTAAGTCCAGCTTCGCAGATCAACGTTTAAGAATAGAGGAGGGAGGTAAGAGAATTCCCTATTCCCAAGCATTTTGTAGTTAATGGGGCTCGAACTTATCTCCTCTAAGTCACAAGATATCCACCAACTAGCTAAAGCTTGGTACTGACTTGCATAGTGGTATGTGCAACTTTTGCAATAAATATGCTGGTTAAAATAAACACATACGTACAACTTAACTTGGCAAACCAAAAAGTCTAATTATGAAAAAACAATGAGCAAGAAGCAAAGCAAACGTCTTATCAACCAATTAACCGAGCAGCAACTAGAGTACATTTATAAAACTTGCGTTTACCAGTTACAGGTATATATAATAATTAATAAACGTTTAATCCTTATAAAATTTACCTAACATAAACAAGAAAACAAAGAGAGCAAATTTAATGAACTGTCTTTATTCTAATGAGTTAACAAATAACAACTTAACAATTCATACGTTAACTACCTACGCTTATTAAAGTCCAATCTTGTTAGTTATTACGAATTTTTTATTTTTTTTAAGAAAAAATAATAAATAAATATTTTACTTCGTTTCTACTTGCACAAACTCAACAAAGAGAGCAATCATATTAAACTTCAACCTTAATTGTTATAGTTTAAGAAATTTTGATTTTTTATTTTATTTTAATTTACTACGTATATATTTTATGACACAACTTGCACTAACTCAACAAATTAAAAATATTTTTTTGCTTTTTATTAGATGCATTACTTTTTATAAATAACACTTTCAATTTAGATGCATTATTTTTCCTTGTACTTAATAAATTCTCTCTATCTCCCTCAGCTTCTATCATGTAGACTTTCTTTACTCTCTCTGTCACTCTATACTCCAAAAATTGTCTAATCTACAATAACAAAAGTGATGCATGTTATTAAAAAAAAAAGAGAGAGAGAGAGAGAAAATATGCCCTATTCTTAATAAATTCTCTCTATCTCCTTTGATTCCATTCTTTTGAGTTGTTTTGCTCTACTCTGCTCTACCCAAAAACTCAAAAGAAGAGGGCCAAAGTATTATAAACTTCAAACTTGTTAGTTATTAAGAATATTTATTTTTTATTACTACTTGCACAAACTCAACATTTAACCATTCAACTTTATGGACATTTTCAGTGAAATTGCAATGGTGGCAGAAGATTCTTAACAATCATCAAATATGTATGATTAGTTTTGTAAGATTCAAAGTTCATTTTTTTTGGTGCTAAAATTCAAATCAAAATGCATATATGATAATAATTTAATAAATTATTATGATAGGCTTGTTTTTGTGTGGCAGTCCAAGAACCACTAGGACTAAATCTCATTTTTAGATCTTAACCACCATCATGTATATAGTTATTAATTATGGGAAAATCATTAATCAAAGTCTACAACAACCCTATTAGTTTATTAATTAGTTTATTAATTAAAAGCTACTTCATCTAAGTACGGAGTAGTAGTCTTCTAAATAATTTGCATGCATGAATCACATCATATATTTATTTATTTATATGCGTTACATTGAGAGTTTGATACCACTACAACAACTCATTTATTTGAATTTTAACATTGCACCATCATATGGTAAAATATTGAAATGAATATGTAACTATATATGTAAGTTGCTCTACATTAGATCGATCGAGATGAATACTGAGCTGAGGAAAAACAAAAACAAACTTTAAGCTTGGAAATAACTCCTTTCATCATTAGTTAATTATATTATTACATATCTTAAGCTATGATCTTCTTTTCTTTTACAGATACTTCATTTGTATGTAGGCCGCTTTTTATACTTTTAATATGGTATATATAAACGAACATTATAATTTATAACAATCAAATTGCTCTTAACCATGTAACTAATGTCATCGACCTCTCAATGAAAAAAGTAATTATTTATATGTCACCCCTTGTAAAGAATATACTTAAAAAGGGGAAAATACAAGTTAACTGCCAGATAAACGAATTTTTGTTAATCTGATGACATTTTTGTAAATATATTGAAAAAGCAGGATCCGTCATTTATTTATTCAGTACTTTTGGTGAGCTGTCCAATTACTGTTTGTCTTTTGCTTTTACTATTTGGTGATGAAATTACACATGTACCCCTCAACAAGTACATGAAAAGACGCATATACCCCTCTACTAGTACTTGAAAAGACAACTATACCCCCAGATAAACAAATTTTGTGGGAATTAATTGGATATCCCTCCTTAAAAAGTCATCCATCAATGATCAATATATAGGTCACCACATTTAATTTATAAATTGCACAAAATTTTCTGATATAGTTGAGTGGACACACTACTTATGCACTAATTTGTCTCTAGAAATGGTATAATAGAAAATATTGACAAGTCTTTATCATTTTCTTTTTATGTATAGTATATTTTATTGAAGTAAAAGTACTAGTAAGGCAAAATAAAAATTGAATTAAAAAAAGAAACATGACAACTAATCTAAGCTTTAAAAGTTTAAATAGGAAAGTAAGGTCAATACATTGCTCACACATACATAACATAACATCATCTTTCTCTTCCTTCTCTTATTGTCTTCCTAAACACTTTGATCATCTTAATATTAAGGCTCTCACTTAATCTAAGTTTCCTAAAATAAATTTCATTACTCTTTTGATTTTCTTCTAAGTTGGAGTAATTATTTCTATTATTAATATTAGGGTTATCTAATTAATAATTAGGCACTTTGCTAAAAATATAATGGTTCATAAATCAGTGAATAAAACAAAACCAAAAATAAAGCATAGGAAAGGTTTATGGTCACCTGAAGAAGATGATAGGCTAAGAAACTACATTCTTCATCATGGCCATGGATGTTGGAGCAATGTTCCCATTAATGCTGGTAACCCTTTTTCTTTTCATTTATTTTTATAAATATATATAATTGTCGGTAAATGAAATATTATTTGACTTTTAGCTAAATATTATTATTGTTATTATGATTTACAACTAATGTATCGTACGTACTATTATAAAATTATAATTTAGATGGTCTGATTTTTATGTTTATTTATTTATTTTTTTTTACAGATTTTCTGTATGAAATAAATTGCCTTCACCTTATTTGAGCTTTGATTATTGAGCTTGTCAAGTGTCAAAATGTGTTATTGTATATTCTTGATTATAAATTGAGAAAAAAAAAGATAATTAAGTCTGCCATTACAAATTTGCAAATGGCCTGGATCTCTAATAGACTAATAATACTTTGTTGATTAGTGGCGGATCTTGGTCGAAACATTAGAGGGGGCGGAATTTAAATATTTAACCTCTTGCTCAAAACTAATCACTATGTCCCAATATTTTATAAGTAAATATAGGTTATTTTAGTTCATCAACTAATTACTTACAATAATTTATGGGGGCCAGACCCCGAATGACCCCGGTGGAAAGTCTTCCTATGTTGTTGATGATTAATAAAAGTATATAAGGAGCAAAATATCAATTATAGGTAGTTTTCAAATATAAATTTTTTTCTTAGCACTATAAATTCATCAAAAATGTTTAAGCTTAAATGCATGCATTGGAATATAGACTTATTGTTTACCAACTAATAAGGGCATCTTAATCATGTGAATAAAACTATAAGCTAAGCATAATGTAATTAAGTGTTCATAAAAGGCTAGTTAAAGGGTAGTTCTAGCTTTGCTTTATTAAGTCTTTGAACCATTAAAAGTAGTTTGGTGTTTAATAAATTAAAGTAGTTTCTTGATCATTGAAAAAAAGAAGAAGAAGATGATCAAGAAGAAGACTAATTAAAGCTACATTATGATTAATTTTTTTAATGTACTTATATTTGTGAACGTATGAGAGCATATATGCATGTTTAAACATTTCTATTAGTTGAGAAATACGAGAGCTTAAATTGTAGCCTTATACAAATTTAATTAAATTACTCCGTATTAATTAAGAACATCTAGCTAGCTTCGTCCATCGATAGATTATTATTGTTTACAATAAGCTGTAAGCATCCCAATCATATGAAAGTACTACTCGTAGTAAGAGTTTTAGGGTTTACATCATGCATGAAATATAGGGTAATACTTTTTGAATGTCAAAAAAAAAAAAAAAAAAAAAAAAAAAAAAAAAAAAAAAAAAAAAAAACTTATACATTGTATCAGTTTATATGAAGTAGTTATAATTTATAATATGTAAGATGTAACTACCATTTACCAAAAGTATGTATGTGATACTTCATTTCTTCGTGTTATATGTGGTTGATTTTTTTGTAATACTTCGTTTTAATTAGTATGATGGAAGCTAGCTAGAGGATAAAAATAACCCAAGTAAATGCATAATACTTCGTTCGTAGAGTAAACAACCACTTTATACAAAGATATTTTGCCATAGTCTTAATTATGAAAGGCTAGGATCGGAGCATGTAGAGATTATAAAAACCCTATTTTGATCCGATATGAAGACATAATTAATGAATACCTTTGATGATTCGTACAAAAATGTTGAAGCAAAAAGTTATGTTTTACTCCGTACGTTATTTTGTAAACGAACCTTTGAAAGGGTCTTTATGTTTAGGGCATAAAAAAGGACAATTAAAGAAATCTTTGCTTTGGCCAAAATAGGACATGGTAGAATTAGTATGCATGATAGGAGCTTGATGAGTCAAAAACAACAAGAATTTAAAAAGTGCAAGCAAAAGATAGAGACAATGACATCTATAATTTTAATAAAAGTAGAAAATTAAGTAGTCCAATTGCTTTTTAAGTTGACTTTCTATTGAGAATAATCACCTCATCATTCTTTGTCTTTAGATTTGTTTAATATGTACGGATTAATCACTGTGCTCTTACATTGGCCCTTATAATTTAGATATTTACTAGCCAATTAATTTTTCAGGACTGCAAAGAAATGGAAAGAGTTGCAGATTAAGATGGATTAATTACTTAAGACCAGGGCTTAAGAGGGGTACTTTGAGCCCCCAAGAAGAAGAAACTATTCTAGCCCTTCATTTTGCTTTCGGAAATAAGTAAGTTTATATTATATTCAATCGCGATTTATTTGATTAATTTTGATAGGATGATAATCTAAAGCAAAAACTTATACAATATAGGGTTAATCACCTCGAAAATGTGTAAAAGCATGTAGTTAACTTTGCAAGGGGTGACTAGTATAAGTTGTATGGTGTGATTAAAGATAGTGTATATTTACGATCTACTGGTATTCATTTCCTTACTTTAGGAATTCTTTTTACAAAAAAAAGTTGTGAAAGTTATTTTTTGTAAAAAAAAATGTGAAAAAATTGTAAAAACACCTACTCCGTACTTTTTTAATTTTCTTTTTGCACGTTATAAGATGTGACTTTATATTAATTAATCGTTCCTGGCTTGCGCTTTAAAAAAAAATCCTAATAATATAGCAAGACCCCATGCATTTAATTAATAATATTTTTTTGTCTTATCAAAGTATTCTACAAATGCAATAAAATTTTGGTGAAATCGATCAGACCAAACCAGTCCACATCAATTATTTATAAAAATAAAAGTATTTTATGATCAAGTGAAGAGAAAACTAGCCTAAATCGCATCACTTCTCTTTCTCCCTCTTTTAACTCCGTAAGTAATTTGGTTTTTGTGTAAGAAAAGAGCTAAGCTGGTACGTGAGTCTCATTGGATACTTCTATATCGGGTATAGTTTTACCAGTAAATTGTCAATTCTATCATTAAAGTTGCTTCATCTTGGCAGTCTCCTCCTAGCTTAAGTTACTCTTGGCATCAAGCCATTCTTAAACATGCAGACAAAAACTACCACTATATATAATGCAATAATCTAATGATTAATTACATTAGGCACAACATTAATTAGGTTGTCACTCATCTAATCTAAACTTTAACTTAATTAGAACTATACATTTATGTTATACAAAATAATCATCTAGCAATATATAGTAATCTTAGCCAGGAAATAGCAAAACATTGTCTAGGAAAATTATGTCTAATAGCGTGAATATATTTATTTAAAGGTATGTACGTTTTCTTTAAACATGCCTAAATGAATTAACTTTGTTCTCATTATTTTTGTCTAAGGGATACTCAACCAAGGTGTACCCTCTTTTTTTTTTTTTTTTTTTTTTTTTTTTTTTTTTTTTTTTTTTTTTTTTTTTTTTTTTTTTTTTTTTTAAAAAAAACGTAATTAAATTGTTCCTATGTATAACTCTAAGGCTATATATAATCATCAAGTTTAAAAGTTTATAGGAAGAATAGCGTGATGATTTAGACCTTTAACGTGTTACATATTTTGTATAACGATTTTTTTTTTTTTTTTGTTAACAGATGGTCTCAAATAGCACAACATTTGCCAGGGAGGACTGATAATGAAATTAAGAATTTTTGGCACTCTTATCTCAAGAAGAAGGTACCAAGGAGAGAAAAAAATGAACCCATATCAGAAACCCAATTAACTAGCTCAACCCTCCAAGAGTCACCGGTAAACTCGAACGCCACGACTTCAAGTTCCGATCAAGGATCTACAATGAATAATGTTACTCAATTAGCTAGCAACAATCAAAGTGCCTTACCGAGAATATTCTTTGCTGAATGGTTTAACTTGGATAATACTTTAAACAATAATAATAATGGACATTATAACGCCCAAGTTAATCAATTTCCTAGCTACAATAATTATTATTCCAAGGATATTGGTCATGTTGCATGTAATTTGGATTTGGAGGATGGTCGTACGCAAAGATTTACGTACAACGAAGGATCATGTAGCAATGATGAATTGTACTCGTATAATGAAGCAGAAAATGTTGCGTTTGATTCACAGTTCAAAATTGGAGATCAGAATTCAGAGAATGTGCTGAGTGATTTTTTATATGGAACTGAGATTCCAAATAATTATTTTGTGGAAAATAATTTAATGTATATTTAAGTGGCTTTAGATTATAATTTTATATTTAAGAGAGTGTATACTATGTGTATGTATATTATATTTATACATATGGCTTGCTTTTATTTTGATCTTTGGGTTTTATTACAACTGTATAGCTATAGAGTGATGGAAATGTATTAGACTTTTAAGAGTTATAAATTATAATATACTTTATGTCGGTTCACAAAAGTGATCTTATGATGATAAGACGGTCTTACACAAATGTTTCTCATGTCCTAATGGTTTGTTTTGGTTTTTATATCCTCCTTTTATCAACCACATGGCTAAAATGAGTTGTATTCAACTTAATTGTAAAAACTTTAGTCATTAATGATTATAACGAGAACAAATAAGTAAACATTGCAAGTGAAAGAAAGAATTTGAGAGAGGAAAAACTAGGTTGGGAGCTGAGTTTGGATCTATATGAGCGAATGAGATTGAGAAACAAACAAAAAAAAAAATTCTATGAAAGAGAAAGAGAGCAAATGAGATTGAATAAAACGAACAATATAACAACTCACCTCAAGATCAATTGGTCGCAACAAATAATATTGGTGCATCTCGATTGTGCACGTATTTATAGGAACTAGGGGTAATAGTTTAAAGTCTTTAAACTAAATGGCTTGCTTGTTAGCATGGGTGACTGCCATCTATTCAAACACTGAGCAAATCATTTGGAGGGTTAATCATCCTTAAAATATAGAAAAGCAGCCACTTTATCCACCAGAATTTGCTGGCTTGTGTGAGAATATACGGACCAACCAAAGAAGAGACCTTCATCTTGCTAAAGATGATTAATATTGATTGGTTTAATATTTGGAACAACTTTACCTGCTCAATTAATAAGGTATTAGTACATTTCTTCTTTAGTTATCTTATCTTTGCCATTTTAATCATTGACTTCTAATCATAAAAGCAATGCACGCCAAAGTTGATGAGATACAAATATACTATAGTACTTTGTCCTCATCATATTATTGTTGGAATTATTTACATTAATGATCATTAATACATTTTCTTCCTTTGATCAATTAAGTTCACTTCTTTTGCATAGGCGCATATCCATGCATTTGTTCATTTCATCTTAAAATAAAAATATATATTCAATAAAAAATCAATAACTTTAAGGAAGAAATATAAAAAAGAATCAGTAAAAATAATTTCAATTCAGCAATAATTTAAGTTCAACAAAAATAATTTTAGTTCAGTAAAAATAATTTCAGTTCAGCAAATATAAGGTGAAGTGAACAGGACCTAACACGAGATCAAGTGTTGACTGATTGAGATTTATACAATCAAAATGTTAACTCCGTTCTTTCTTGCAGATTTATTAAGTTTTTTAGAGGGCGAACAAGAAATTAAGGTTGTGTTGAACATTAGTTTCATAGAACTCTTAAAAGGCCTGTAATCTAATTAACGAAAATTAATTAAGTTACATAATTCAGACTTTTTGACTTTCAAAGATACTTAATATATATAGTAATAAACTAGACATCTTAATATTCCTGTACATAACAGAGAAACAGGTAAAATTCCTAGACAGTATTCCTTTTGTACAGAAAAATGATACTCATTTTGCTCATCTCTTCATTAGTGAACTAAGAGAAAATCCCACTATTAGACATGTAAAATCCACTAAAAGAGCCATCTCCAGCAGAATAATCCATGAAATTACTTCCTAATGCACTTTGTTCTTGAAACTTCAATGGAAAATCCAGCATCCCCTTCTGCATAACATCTCCTACATCCTGGCTGTACATGTCACTGCTCGACGTTGAAGCAACTTCATTAAACCCGAAACCATGGATAAAATCACCCTGCTGTTTCGCTGCTGTGAAACCAAAACCATTCTTAACAGAAGTTGGTTGCTGATAACTTAGCCCATTTTGTCCTACAGTGTAGTCATTCGGAAGCCAGTCAGCAAAAACTAGTCTAGGTAAGATGTTTTCGTGTCCTTGTACTTGTTCTCCACTATCAAGAAGTTCAAGTACACTCCTTGAAGCTTTGCTTGATTGATTCATACAAGAACCATTTTCTTCTGTGTTAGAGATTGCGAATTTATGTTTCGCAATATTAGCTTCAGTATCAGCAGAGTCCCCTGCTCTTTTCTTCAAGTAAGAGTGCCAGTAATTCTTTATCTCATTGTCAGTTCTTCCAGGCAAATGCTTTGCTATTTGAGACCATCTGCTCAATTACATAGAAAAAGTTACACTCGAAACGTAATAGTGCATATAATACAGGCAATATAGTTATGAAATTCTACCAAATAGACCCATTCTTTATGAAATTCTACCAAAGACAAGGTTGTTGGTGCAACCATGACATATTCACAGTAATTCTTGCTATAACACTTCAAACAGAATTACAAAAATGTCTTTTTCGGATATTCTTAGATATTTTCCATATGATAAGGACATATCCTAGGGAACCAATGAAAGATTACATCCTAATAAACCGAATTCAATATTTTAATCCCGCTTACATCTTTATTAAACTTTTTAGAGCAGTTGAAATGATCAAAAGTTAGACTAACACAATTGAATAATACATCATAACTTTATTCTACTTGCATATGATTAAGCATCTTTTCAAAGATGAAATTGAGATGAGTTCTGAACTTACTTGTTCCCTAAGGTTTGGTGAAGGGTCAGAATCATTCCTTCTTCTTGAGTGCTAAACATGCCTCGTTTTAGTCCTGGTCTCAAGTAATTAATCCATCTTAATCTGCAGCTCTTTCCATTCCTTTGCAGCCCTATATTAGAACAGCTAGTGATCAGTATAACTGCCTCACATGGCTCACTTAACATAAGTAGTAAAATTATCATTAAATTCATGATAACGAACTTTTGAAAGATTAGAAATTTAGCCACCATGTCAGATACATGCACCTTGTTATTAATCAGATATCCTAAATTCACTGAAATTGCTAAAAGGTTGTAAGGTATACGAAAATAAACAATTTGATTAATATTCTCAAAAAAGTTGTAAGGCTATAAGAATAATCTATTACACAAGTGTTTCATATGAGCGTATTCTGCTTCAAAAATCATCCAATCAATTCTGAAGTATGTTACTCGGATTTTGCATTTCACTTCAAAAATCATATGAGAGTACACTTTTTTTTGAACCAAAAACAGGACAATTTTCATTAAATTGAGAGCTTAGACAGATTCAAAAAACAACCATATGACTAATTCTCAGTTTTACAAGAGCAATGACCCTTAAACAAGTTCTATGAAGTTCATTCATTTCAACAAGTCTATAATAAACTGCAAAACTTACCAGCATTGAGGGGCACAGAACTCCAGCAACCAATGCCATGCTGAAGAATGTAGTCTTTAAGCCTTTGATCTTCTTCAGGTGACCATAAACCTTTCTTGTGCTTCTTTGTTAGCTTTTCTGAAGGCTTTAACCCCATTTTCGCGAATAAGAAAGAACGTAAACAAGGGTGAATGATGAGGAAAGTAGAAGACAGCCAACTCTTGGGTTGGAATATGAAGCAAATTAAAGCTGACTTACAGCCAACAATTCTCTATTATAAAAGAAAGGAAAAGAGGCAATGAGATTATTGTATCTTTAGTTGTCATTTAGCAAAAAGAATCATGTTTATAAAATTTCTTACTATTAAATTAGTATACAACAAAACAAATGCTACTTGTCTCTAGTTTGTTAAAAAGCCATTGAAAAAATCATTTTTTTGGATACCTATTTTTAATAGGGGAATTTTACAGCAGAGTAATTTTTCATTAGCCTTTGGACCACCAAAAACTTAGTCTTTGCTTAAGATTCCTTACACATTATCAAACTTAACTAGAAAAACATTATAAATAATGAGAAATTAGGCTGCAGAAATCAATTAACTATATGTTTTTCTCATTTAAGAATTAAGATTCTAATTGGCAACTTAACTATTGAAGAATCATAACAGTATTTTAGTTGCATACTTGAGGTAGTTTTCAAGATTATGTCAGTGCAGCATTTTGATTACTATGTTATTATGTAAGAAGGAATCAAATACTTAAATAAATTCTACTAGATCATAGACAGAGTTACAGCTTATGTTACTCATGTATCATTATAAAAGATGGTCACAAGGATACCTATCTAACTGTCAAACTCGGCCATCTTACTCATGTCGAAATCTGAAAGGTCTAACAAGGGTACTTAAGGTGTAAAAACGAGTCCGGAATGATGCAAAAAAGAAAGTGACTAAATAAGGGGGGTGATCATGAAATTTCATAGGAATATATAGAATTTTAACTCGAGAAATATAGTATGTAGGTAAAGAAATACATGATTTGTAGTTCAACAATTATTTAAAGATATCTCCCTTGTTATGATTGTAATTAATGAATAGAACAAAGACTTGATGCAATAATAAACATATAATCATTGTTGATAATTAAGAAGAATCAATTAATTTGGTCTAAATTAATCATAGGAAGCCGACAATGATTACATAAAAGGCTCATACAAATGACACCCTTTGGGTTTTTAAAACAAACTTGCTGAATGACAGGCCTAAACTTTATTTGCAGGATGACAACTGCACATTATTTTACTAATGGAAACTTGCTGACAACCTAATTTTACATATAATTGTTTATAGAATTATTAATAAAAGCATGATTTGTATTATCATACAATAAACCTCTTATATTCTGCATAATTTGCACTTAAAATATTAGATCAGCCTGTCCACTGCATAGCTACATAATCTGGTCAACTTCTACAAGTTCGCTCAAACTCTTCATATCACCTCAAATACCCTTGTCGGTCGTACTACCTCTATCATAGATATGGAAATTATACATAATGGACTATAAATTTGCATATTTTTCATGAAATAGCCGAGTCTAACACCTAAAGATGTAGTCTTGTTGGCCATTACTAGCCGAGTTTGAGTATCTTATATTTTTCCAAGAACCAATTTAATTTTTTTATCCTTCTCTTTAGCTTCATTTTATTACCCTTTATCTAAACTTATTCGGAGTACTCCATAAATATTTTTACTTGACATAAAAGGAACAAACTCGAATTGTAAGAGTTCCTGTTTCTTCCTATATGAAGGATATCAACAGCAGTGAGCTCTTAGTTCAATTCTACGAGTAGAGTCAGAAAATAAAAAATAAAAAAATTGGTTTACATCTTGAAGATATGAAAATCTTTCCTTCATATTCAATCAAAAAATATTAATCTTGTTTGTCCGTCATAACAGAACAGAAATCTCAATGATGTCATATATTGACAAAAAAACTACAATCTGAAATTAAGATGGCTAAGCCAAACAAGGTATTACATCACATAATAAAATAGGGAGTTGGTTATGACTTCAAATTGACTGGAATATATCATAATGTTTGTCTTACCAAAATAAATAAATATGTACATAATAATATTGAATTAAAAAATGCAAGTAAACCACATTACATTTTGATCAGGGTAAACTAAAGCATATGATAGTATAGCCAGATAAGGTATCTATTATGTAAAGCACTAATGTCTTGTTACATGAACTAATCAAGGCATTACCTCCTAGATTATGAGGGCATATTAGGAACCATAATTATGAACCAATATATAGAATATTAAGAAAGGTGACAACTTTTTCCGCACTTTATAAAGTAGTAGGTGTGACTATTTAGGATACAATTTATAATGGTTCAAGAAAACTCAAGCATCAATTTCTATTAAAATGATAGGTGGGGCTGATTCCATCATCAGAAATCTATTTACAAGCTGATTGGATAACAAACTACTACTATATTGCCAAAAATAAAATAGACTTTTACTCCCACAAGTTGTAAATCAAGATTCTGTGATGTATTATCCTGTTTTCAGCTAAAATATTTTATCTATGCTTCCTACCAAAATACATATATCAAGTAAAGGATTTGTTTTAACTTCCATACATTACATAATTGATTACTTACAGAAGTACAGTAAGAACAATCATTATCTTGATGATCTTAATTAACGCAAAGTAAGGCATGATTAAGACTGATTAAGATGGCTCTAAATAATTAACTTAATTCCACTGATTATATATTAGACTTTTATTATCAGCAGTCGAAAGTTCACGAATATAACTTGTTTCTTTAACCATACAAGTATTAGATAATTATGGGGTTTAAAGTTTAACTAAAAAAAAACTATTGATTTCATTAAGTCTTATCTAATTAGCACCAGTAAAGTTTATATAAACAGATTATGCCAGCGCTTTCAATGAAATGAAGCATGGTTTTACAACTAACTTTTTGGATAAAGAATATGATAAACAGCTCAAATGTCAACTGAATGATTGAGTGAGCATAAGCAAGAATCATATGGTAGTTTGTACAGCTTGGACTGCTTTACTTTACCCTAGAGAAAACATAGTATATCAACTCTTTATCTTCCTTAATATATGTGTATATTATATAGATATAAAATACTAGTAATAAAAAGTACTCGTATATTCTTAATTATTCCCTCTATTCTTTTTTGTTATTCATATTTGGAAAAATCAAAAGGCCAAAAATATGAAGAAAAAAAAGAATGGAAGGGTTGTTTTCTCATCAATTATTAGAAGATTATGGTTTTCATGAATGCCAATTAAAATGAATGCCAATCACTACGAATATTTCTAAGATTTATAGACTTGTGTAGGCTTAGGCTAGCCATGCTATTTGTACACAAGAACCCATAAAATGAAGTGTTGGAGTGTCATACCCCATATTGAAGTGTCAAGGATCTAAAGCAGGTACGTGAGGTTAAACGAAGAGTATCAATTAGAACACATCATTACAACAGTAAATTCATCAAATATAAACCTTATGCAAGAAGCTTGGTAGCATATTCCTTGAAATATACTTTGCTATAATATAACCAGTTTAATCTTTTGATCTGTGAGTGTGTTAAACTTCTTTGTTCATCCCCATGACATTCACAATAGTACAACACCTTGCATATTTATGTTCACCTGATTCCTGACATACCAAGAGGATGCTGTAGCAAAGCATATTCTGAATATTTGCACAAAACAAGTTATCGAGCTAGAATTCTCACCCAGGATCAGGCATTGCCCAGAATTTCGAAAAATACCGGTAACAAACAAAGATATCATCAATAAGCAAAACAGATATCCTCCCTACCTCTTTCATGACCAGTCATTACAATAGCAGAACCATTTGATCTGCCAAAAAACAGCTACTGTAAAAGTCGCCACAGTTTCTGTATAACATACTATGCAAATACTACCCTGCCTTGTTGTATACTAATCTAACAACAGTTCAAGAATGTGTCAGGAAATTAAGAATAACTACCTGACACAAGGAACTGGTCCCAAATATTCCCGAGCACAGATGACGAATCTAATTAACAAGTCTCCAATTAGTGATAAGTAAAGGTTAAGAGTAACTTCCGATATTTGAATGAGAATAAAGGCCTTGGACTTTCGCAGTGAACTTATAATTTCTATCTCAGGTAACTGTTGGAAGCAAGAATTCCATGGACCCAGGATAATCTCAGGGAGAGATCATTTTAAACTGGAATCTTGACAGCTGCTGTGGAATGGAGGATAAGACAGGTCCGTATCTCTGTCATCAAACAAAGAACTCATATCAGAACACTTTAATTTCAATTATCAGATTTCATATGATGCTTTTTTGATGTTTCCAAACTTGGAAGGGGGAATGAGTTTTACGGGAATAGCTGAGTAGGGGAGAGGGTAGATGAGTAGGGGAGAGGGTAGAGAACCTTTGCACCTTTGCAAAGTTCAAGAGCTATGATAGAGGAATTTTAGACTATGGCCCTGTGCCCTGTCCTATTCATCTGACTAATTATATACTTATATTGGAATTATATTCAGTGGCGGACCTACACGTGTGCACACTGGGTCACGTGACTCAGCAGTGCCAAAAAAAAAATTAAAAAAAAAAAAACAAAAAAAAACAAGAAAAAACAAAAAAACAAGAAAGAGCGGCTGAACGACAAAGCACAAAGGCCCAAAACGCGTGAAAGAAAGAACGGAAACCTCACAACCCTAAATCCCTCTCTCGCAATCTCGCATTTGCCGCTACTTCGCCGGAGCAGCCAACCACGCCGGAGCAGCCTACCTTCAGTCTTCACACGTTCATCCGTTCGTCCCTTTCGTCGTTCAAACAACAGTTCATTCGTTCGTGGAACGGTGGAATCGTGGTTCGTCGTTCATCCCTAAGGCCCGACTCGGCCGACTGCCCGACTGGACGGCGCCCTCACCCCTCGGAATCTCAGATCTACGCCAGTAACACCACCGAGCACGACGAGCAGCCGTCTGTCTAGCACGGACCACCGAATCGGTGCTTTGAAGGCAGGCGCCAGCAAGCAGTGAAGCAGCAAGGTATTTACTAATTTACACCTTTTAATTTGTTTTGTTAATTATAAATTTGTATAATTTTAGTCATTTGATTGATTAAATTGAACTGAATTGTTGATTTGTTGTTCATTTTTGTGTTAATTACTTAATTAATTATAATTTCAGATTTTCAGTCATTTATAAATTATAATTTCATAGTCTTGATCTCTTGAAAATTTGAAATTGACAAAATGACAGGTTGTTGGCATTGTTGCTTGTTGTAATTTGTAAATCTTGTAATGTTGTTCATTGTGGATTTGTGGTGTGGATTTGTGGTGTTGAAATGCAGAATTGTTGATTAGGTGGTCATTTGATTCAGATTTGATTGATATTTGAATGTATTATGTGTATTCAAATGAACTGAAATTGTGTAATGTGTATATATGAATGTATTATGTGTATTCAAATGAACTATATTTGCAATTACAAATGAGTTGAATGTGGCTTTACAAAAACATGATCAAGATATTGTTAATGCAATAGCCATGGTTAACGTAACCAAGACTAATTTGCAAGAGTTGAGAGATGAAGGATGGGATTCCTTTATGGAAAAGATCTTGTCTTTCACAACCAAATATGAGATTGAGGTTCCAGATATGAATGCGACATATGTTGTTCCCGGGAGAAGGATGTTTAGAGGTAAGCGTCCGGGAGTGTCAAATCTTCATCATTTTCGAGTTGAGGTGTTTATTAGTGTCATTGATCTTCAGTTACAAGAGCTTGAAAATTGATTTCCCGAGATAAGTAAAGAACTTATTGTGTGTATGTCTTGTTTTAGTCCAGTTAATCGGTTCTCTTCTTTTAACAAAGTTAAATTGACCAAGCTAGCAACATTCTATCCAAATGAATTTTCAAGCTCGGAATTGATTTACTTTGAACACACACTTCAAAATTACTTTATGGCCGTTAGAGATGATGAAAGGTTTTGGAATTTGAAGAGTCTTAGTGAATTGTCAAAGAAACTCGTTGAGACGGGATTGTCCGAAACTCATAGTAGAGTATACTTGCTTTTGAAGTTGGTGTTGGTTCTCCCCGTTGCAACGGCAAGTGTTAAAAGAGTGTTTTCTGGTATGACAATCGTGAAAGATAAATTGCGTAATAGCATGGGAGATCAAATGTTGAATGATTGTTTGATTACTTTTCTAGAAAGTGATTTGTTTTCGAATGTTAAAATAGATCACATTATTGATCGATATCAAAATATGAAAACTCGTCGTAAACAATTGTAATAGTTTATTGTACTATGTGATTGTAATATATTATTTGTAGTACTTTTAGTTTGTAAGATGAATTATTTAGGTACTATTTGGTTGTAGTATGGATTATTTTTGTTTGATTGAATGATTGAAATGAAGGTGGTTGTCATAATATATTTTTGTTAGTATTTTTGGATTCGAATTTTTTTTTTTTTTTCTGTTACAGGTGATCAATTATTCAGGGTGACTCACAAGGACGGAAATCCTGAATCCGCCACTGATTATATTTAATGATTAATAGAGTTTAGCTAACTGAAACTGTTACTTGTTACAGATAGGGGCTCAAAAATTTTCTATCAAGGTGTAGAGAACAATGCATACATGGTCAAACTGAAAAACACCAAGTATATGACAAACCTAGGGTGGACTACTGACAGGGATCTCGACATCACATAAATAAAGCCAAGACCATTTTTACAAGACTACATGTCTATCAATTACTAACACACCATAACTTATTAGGAGTAATTTATAAATTGATTATATTGAAACATAACAGATCCACATGATAGATGATTCAGCATACTAATTATCCCTTTTTTTTCTTTTTTTTTCCAAGAAAAGGGTAATTACAAACAGAGGAGACATAACATATATTAACAAGAGAAAATTTACTTTAAGATATCTATATGGCCAAAATTTTACCCCTTGTCTAAAGCTCTATCCATTTAATGATGAATTGACAAAAGCACAGGTGCAAGAGGCATATCTATTAAATGCAGTACTGGATACTAATGTTACCCCTCAAGCTAATATAGTACAAGGTTTCAGAGGCTGAGACATTCTAGGCACGAAAATTTTAGAGAGTAGTTCCTTTGAATAAAAAAGATAAGACCAGAGGAGACTTATATCAGATTCCTGACATTGGTAAATGACTCGGCAGAGACCTCAGGATGGGTATTCAATGACATTTAATTCTTGCTTTGGCGCTGAATGTTTATATGCACCTACTTTAGCGCAGCCTTGTTGCAGACGAGGCATAAGCCTTGCCTGCAGGTAATGCCTTAGCCTTGTGCCTTACGAATAAACTTCAGTGTAGGATGATGCATATGTCTTTGCTAACATAGAAAGCTGGTCATTGATCTTCAACTTTCACAGGATTCAGTCTTTTAAAGTCTCAGAAGTATCTTACTATTCCCCAACCTCCTGACCAATGTTGATAAATTTTGGTTGTTTGATTGATATTATGTCACAATATTCTTGAGGAAACGAGTAAAGAAAAGAGGATGAGACATCCTCCACAAGAGAAAGGCGCTTAAGGCTATGTTGAAAACTGGCAAAGGACCCACAGGTGCACAAAAGGAGCAAGATACACCAAATGATGGAGTAAAGCATGAACTTCTAGCTCTCATAAACAGCATGTCCGGCTTCTTTGAATAATTAAATGATTATAAAGATGCTCATCAAACATAGCATAAGGAAGAACTCATTAAATCATGTACAAATAAAAACACTTTCCAGAACTGTGGCTTATAGATTTATAATTTCAGCAGTAAGCTTCTTGTTTTAATCAGTCTCATGACCGACTTGGTCTCCCAAGACAAAATGCTTTGATCAACAATAATAAGGTGGTCTAAATTGCATTAAAGGTGATTTGAAATTGGGTCACAACAATTTGGGTTTAATTTAGGTCGGGTCAATAACAAGTCGAGTTAATTTTGAGTCAAGTTAGTAACAGATGTGGTTGAATTTTTGGGTTGGGTAAGTAATAGGTATGATAAAATTCGGGTTGGGTCAATAACAAGTCGGGTTGAATTTGGGTCAGGTCAATAACAAGTCAGGTTGATTTCAGGTCGGGTTCGTAACAAGTTAGGTTAAATTCGGGTCGGGTTAGGAACGGGTCGGGTTAAATTCGGGTTTACACGGGTTAAAACGAGTTTGGGTCAATTTCGATTCAAGTCGGGTTTGGTGCAAGTTAATTAAATTGGCCGTTGTAAACCGATAAATCGGTGCAAGTTGTAAACCGGTAAATTGGCCGTTTAAAAGCAAATTGAATGGTTCCACACACCCAATTAGACTCCCGGAGGGTATTAGGGACCATGGTAAACATTTCGGCAATTTTAATTTCCAGACGAAAAAAAGTCAAAAAAATTCCAAAATTGAAGGCTAATATCCACGCTTTTTGAGAAATTTTTGAGGTTTCAGGGCCTACTGTCGAAATGTATTGAAATTCTATGGGATACATCTCAGGGTCATTTAATGCCATTTGGAATCATATATGATCATTATTTGTTATCGTAAATGTTCTTTGTAGACTTGAGTTAATGAAATCAATGCAAGTCATAAGCCGGTAAATAGGCTGTTTAAAGGCAAATTGGATGGTTTCACCCACCCAATTGGACTCCCGAAGGATATTAGGGACCATGGTAAACATTTCGACAATCATTATTTCCGGGCGAAAAAAAGGTCTACAATTTCCAAAATTAAAAGCTAATATCCACACTTTTTGAGAAATTTTAAAGGTTTCGAGGTCCGTTATCGAAAAGCCATAATATTCTAGGGAATACATCCCGGGGACATATAATGTCGTTTGGAACCATATATGATCACTATTTGTTGTCATAAGTGTTCGTGGTAGACTTGAGTTAACGAAATCGATGCAAGTTGTAAATCGGTAATTGGTCGTTTAAAGGCAAATTGGATGGTACCACCCACCCAATTGGACTATCGAAAGGTATTAGGGATCATGGTAACATTTCGGCAATTTTTATTTTCTGGCGAAAAAAAGCAAAAAATTCCAAAATTAAAGGCTAATGTCCACACTTTTTGAGAAATTTTGGAGGTTTTGGGGGCCGATGTCCCAAAGTCTTAAGAATTTAGGGAATACATCTGAGGAAATATAATGCCGGAACCATATATGATTATAATATGTTGTCATAAATGTTAGTGGTAGGCTTGAGTTAATGAAATAGGTGCCGGTAAATTGGTCGTTTAAAGGCAAATTGGA